ACACACACACACACACACACACACACACACACACACACACACACACACACACACACACACACACACACACACACACGCAGTTGTAATGGTCATTTTATTTTGTGTAAATGATGTAAATAAAACCGGACCTGAGATCGATCCCTGTTGAACACCAAACATTCTTTCTGTTCAGGCGGTGTTGGAGGTGTGTGACCGGACAGGAGGTGTGTGCGTGGTGTTGTGGAACAGTGTGTGTGTCAACTGGTATCACTGTTTGAAGCCGGGTGATGTCATCAGCCTGAGACGCTATCGAGTGAAACAGCACTACCAGGCTGAGCTGGACGATATAGGTACACACAAACCTGTCTCAAGGACACGTGGGGACTTTTCCTCCACCTGACCTTTCTGAATCAAAGGGTTTAGTTGAGTTTGTTTGTTTCCCCACATCCACAGCAGATAAATCATTTTACGCAAAATTTCGATTTAGCATTTTTAAAGTAAAATGGACTAAAATTTGCCCATATTCATTCTCTTCCTGTTAAACGTGGATTCTAATTTAGCACTAGTATTGATTCTCAGCTCTTAAATAAACAGACGTTTCACTCTGTTACTCTTGTTCTGTCCAGAGATCAGCGTTAACAGCAGGAATCCTGCTGCACAGATATCTGTTCTCCCAGAATCCTCAGTTTCACCCGAGTATCTCCCACCTGCACCAATCTACAGCTTCTACAACAGGTACACACACACACACACACACACACACACACACACACACACACACACACACACACCCCTGTACATAATGCATTTCCTAACCTCAAACCTCCTTCTGACCTCAACCTCAAACCACGTCTAAACCAAACCACACATTGGCCAGAATGTTTTCACTTTGTTTAAACACACACACACACACACACTGTTTTCCAGTAAGGAGCTCCTGGACCGTCCTCACAGCGCCGTGTGTGATGTCATTGGCCTGCTGACATTCACAGGACGAGCAGAGCGAATGAGGAGCAAGGGTGAGGGTTGCCATGGTTACTCCTGCAATACGTCCTTAATTATTTCTGCAGCGATGAATCGATCAGCAACAGAAAATAATTCAGCAACCAAACAATCAAATTAATTTTTCTAGAAAATATGTAAATCATTGACCGGTTCAAGTAAATAATGTTGCAGCAATTCAATTATTTATTTTTTTTAAATTTCAAAAACATGTCATCTCAGCAATCTCTGTTTTCATTGGTAGATGGTCGAGGGGCAGAGCTTTTGGAGTATCGCTGGCTGCAATTGGAGGACGGCACCAGCGATCAGCCGATCAACGTGAAGCTCTTCTCCACATCTCAACCTGAAACACACCACAACCTCCACCCATGTAAGACAAAAGACATGACCTACGGCTAAAGTCCTGAGGAACACGGCAGGATCGCAGCTGTATAGTTTGTGCAGTAGTGATTACTTCACTGTTGCGGAGCTGTCATGCCGTCCATCTTTATTCTGAAGTCTGTAAGTCAGACTGAGTGTTGGCGTGGTTTCTGCTTCAGTTACTTAGCTCTATGGTCACAGGCGTCAGGTTTCAGTTCAGGAAACATAAATATTTTTAGATTTAAAACAAAGAAATATATTTTCTAAATGTTTAAAGAAAGTCTGTGTCTGTTTCAGTGTCTGTGGTCGTTTGTACGAGACTGAAGTTGATCAAGTCTGCAAATCAAACTCACAACTGCTGCTTCCTGACAAACACAGTAAACACTCAGGTGTACTGCACAGGTAACACTCCCCGTCCCTCCCCCTGCTGGTAGAAACACGCATAACACTTATGGATTAAACCTCAGATTTTTACACCAGTCGTCTTCTCTGTCATTACATCATCACTTTATTGGTCTTCTCTCATCATTGGTTATTTTGTCAGGGCTGGGCCACCACTCAGAGATGAGTTATCGTAAAGTCCGGCCAGTTCGACAGTTCCTTCAGTGGCTGAGGAGCCAGGATGATGGACAGGTGCTGAGCAGGGCTCTGATTGGAGGATTCTACATGTACCCACCTCCTCCGGTCTCCCTGGAAACGTACATGAAAGATCGAAGAGGTCAGATCCGTTAAAGTTGTTCATTTTTATTTTTAAAAAGTTCACTTTTATCTAGTGTGTGTGTGTGTGTTATAGGTGAACCAGGTTTCCTTAGAGGGGCGGAGCTTCAGAGGGAGCTGGAGAGGCTCTGTTATCGGGAGAGACGCACCTTCTGCATTCAGGCAACAGTAACCATGGTTACGTACAGCCGCAGAGGAGAGGTGACTGTTGAACACGCACACACTCCATGGTCACAACATACTCCGTAAATAAACATGACAGCCTCCTAAAGCAGAATCATCTGGATCGCCCCCTGGTGTCTGGCTGCTGTATAGGTCATACACCCGCCTCCTCCATGTAGACGTTAAATAAATGTTTGTCAAACAGAAAAGTATTTCCTATTATTTCATCACTATTAATTTATTATCAAATAAAAATATGTGAGATTTATTTATCGATTTCAGAGATTTGATTATTTCACACTGATAAAATAATATTTTTTTCACATTCTTTTTTTTAACCTCTGAATAAAGTGATTTTAAAGATAATGTAGAATGTTGATTGGCTGTTTTGTCTCTGATCAGACATGTGATCAGTTCGATTACAAAAGTTGAATTTGCTGTCGTGTCAGATTTCTCAGGAGAAAACCAGGTGCTGACTCACCTGTCGTCTCTCGTCTGCTGCAGGAGGATCGCTCTTTGTTTTGGACGGACAGAGCTGCATCTTGCTCCTCCTCATCGTCCTCCCCTCGTCTCCTTACATCCTCCTCTCACCCGTCTCCGTCCCTCTCCTCCTCTTCCTCCCTCCTGCCTCTCCCTTCCACACCCCATTCATTCAGACCTCCTCTCTCAACCTCCCCCTCGTCTTTATCTCCAACCTCTCCGTCCTCAGCCTTCAGTCAGATGGCGTCTCGTCCTGTGGACCTCAGAGCAGCGTGAGACATTAAAACATGATTTCTTTGTCGGAGCTGAGTCGGTGTTAAACTCTGTGTTCACAGTCGATCTGTTTGTTCCATCAGGAGGTCGTGTAAGAGGAAACTGCTGCTTCAGCCTGAAACTCCAACGAAGAGGTGAGCATCATCAGATTTACTCAGCAAGAAATATTTTTATTTACCAGAACCTGTGTGTGTTTGTTTTTGTCTCATGGACACTTAAAGCAGAAACTCTCTTCAAGGGTTGATTGGGAAAAACATTTGATCTGAAAATAATAAGAAATTGATGATTGAACTAAATGTTGATCTGTTCCTATAAATGTTATTAAAACTGAAAATGACAAATAGTTTTGTCTCATTCTTCAGACATCCGAGTGTCACACTACAACCAGAACAAAACAACAACACAGGTGAGTGAGTGTGTGTTTCTCCCGTGATTGATGAAAAATGTCGTCCTCACATGTGATTAAAAATAAACATGGTCTCAAGAAGTGACGGTAAATAAAGTTTGGCAAAGCAGATAAAGAGTGTGTTTCATAAATGTCAATTATAATAAATAATGATAATAAAAATCATGGTGATGATGATGATGATGATGGTGAATCTTCGTCCTCTGTGCAGTCATCCTGTTCGAAGCCTCCATGGAGTTTCTAGAAAACTCAAACGCTGATGAAGATGAGAGCGATGACGATGATGCCTCGTCCTTCGTCACCGCTCCCCTCTTTCCCGCCTTCCCACCCATTGCCGAGGAGACACTGCCGATGCGTTACGACCACGCCAGCAGGGAGGAGCAGGCTGTCGTCGTGGCGATGGGAGGGAGGGCGGACCCTGGGAGGTTTGACCCTGCCTTCGATGACTACTACACTCTGAGACTGAGAGGTACACACACACACTTCTTGTTTATCCAGAAATCGGTTAAACTCAGTTTATTAATAATATGAAATGTGTTTCAGCTCTGTCGGATTCCGTGTCGGTCCACGTCGTCTTCCTCCCTCATTCCTCTCCTCCTGATCTCCCTCACCCCAACACCTGGACCTCCATCTTATCCCACGGAGCCTTCTCTTCACATGGACCTCCACCTTCACCAGGTACACACACACACACACACACACACA